CCACAAGGGTGGCAGGGAGGCAAATACTCAGCCAGGCCAAGCAAACTTGGAGCTGGCAGGAAAAAAATATCCACGGCAGAGACCCTGTTTCCCTGCATTCTCTCACAGAGCCCTTCCCAGGATGTCCCCAGCTCCATTACTCACCTGCACTGCCAAGTGCCCCTCCAGCACTGCAGGGATGGCCTGCTCCAGCACCTCTTTGCCACCATACTGGAATGGAATGGGAAGGAGGGAATAACACATGGGTTCATGAAAAAAAAAAACCCAGAAGAGATGATTCACCCCATGGCAGCTCTCTGTGCCCCACAGCCTCACCGTCCCAATGCTGGTCTGGCCCAGGTACTGCAGGTTGTAAAGCAGCCTAGGGAAAAAAGGGCTCAGGTGAGGAACACCACACATCCCCTCCTGCTGTTCTCTGCAGGGGAAGATGCTCCCAGCCCCCCACCACCCCAAGGCCAAGGGGGCAGCTTTGGCCCTACACCCTTGATGGGAGATCAGGGATAGTGTGGGCACAAGGATACCCCGCTGGCAGGACCCCCAGCCCAGCCTGGGGGCTCCCCTTGGCACCAGACCCACCTGCCCCCTCGCAGCTGCCGTGCCTCCCCCTCGCCCCTGTGCCTGGGGCTGTGCTGGAGCTGGAAGTGGGGCTCCTTCTCCTTCAGGACCTTCAGGTAGGGCAGCAGTGGCTCATAGACCTGCCCGTCGTGCCACCGCCACCGGAGCAGGCGGAAGATGAGCGGCTGCCCCTTCAGCTTCTGCAGGATGTCCCCAGCCTGGAGGGAGAGAGGGGAAGCAAAGGGTAGGATGGGGGGCAGAAGAGGGGGAGCCACCCTGGCCCTCCCTGCCCACCCACCTGCCCGCTGTGGGCGTATCTCAGCGAGCAGCCGTTGATCTCGTCCAGGATGTCGCCGGCCAGCACCACCTCGTCCACCTCCGCCTGGCTCTCAGGGAGCACCTTGGTGACAAAGACTCGGCCCTCCACATACCTGGGGGTGTGGTCAAGCCCTGGCTCAGGCCCAGGGACCCTGTCTGGCTCCCCCAGCCCTTTTGTGCCATCCATAACATTTCACCCATGCAAAGAAGCCACCTCCTGGACAGCAGATACCAGTGAGACCCTCACAGGGTGTTTATCTCCCTTTCTGGGGGAGTTTGAGTGCTGTGGTGACCAGATCCCTCTGGAGATTGGAGAGGAGGATCAAGGGCTCCTACCTGAGCACCATCCCCAGCGCTCGGCATGGGACGGTCTCGTAAGTGCTGCACACCTGGAAGAGAGTGGCCGGTGACAGTGGCCTTGGCAGTGGCCATGGGACATCCAAGGAGCATGACCAGGACAAGGGGGAGAACTGGGACTCCATGCCCTGGATAATTTCTGGCACTGATGCCACACCAGGGGTTTAGGAGCCCAAGAAGAGGCCAGCCCACAGTGCCCCAGGCTGAGCTCTGACCATCAGTGGCTGCTTTTCCCTGCCCTCTTTCAGCTGTGCCCAGACCCTGAGGGGACAAACGTGCTCCACGGATGGGAGGCCAAAGCAGCAGGTGAACCCTTAGCCAAGAGCCCTCCTCCCTCACCCCACATGTCCCCACGCAGCCAGGGGAGCGTGGCCGCCCCTCCCCACAGCCTCTGCTGTTTGCAGCAGCACTTACTGTCACATCACATTAGCCAGGGACCCGAAACACGGCCAGCTCGGCCGGGGGCACTTGCTGTTAGAAATGCCCAAAAGCCAGCAGGATCCCAGGCTCTGCAGCAGAACCACGGCTCAGAGCACACCGTGAGCACCCCCAAAGCCGCCTTGAGCTTCCTGGGGATTCTTTTGGGTTAAAAGGGCGGCGGAGGGACGCTCTTCATCTTTAAAAGACATAAAGGCATCCCCGCTGTTCTCCGTAACACGCTGATGTTTCACCGAGCAAGCCGAGAGAGAAACCAACTGACGCGTAATGTGTGTCAGCCCAGGGAAATGGGGATTTTTTCGGGCAAGAAATCAGGAGAGGGAGCACGGGAAAGCTTCACTTACGGTGGCAATTTAGGCTTGGGTACTACTCTTGCTTGGTTTTACTCCCAGGAATGCTGGGATGTGCTCCTGGTGACAGCCCAGGCACCTGGCAGGATCCCACCTCGGTGGCAGAGGCGGCTCTGCTCGTGCTGGTGAACCTGAGCCCATTCAGCCCAGGTGCGTGGCAGTCCCTCCCCACCAAACCATTCCTTATCTCCCTCATTTGACTTCTCAGCCAGGGCCAGGTGGCGGGAGGACGGCTCCGGGGAGCGATGAGTCCTTACCGGCAGCAGCCAGCTCTCGTCCAAGAAGCTGCAATTCTGTAAACAAAGGAGTGCCAGTGCCATCAGTCCCGGATAGGAAGGGGCCGGGGCCCTGCATTGGGAGCCACCACCCCCCTGATTCATCACCACACCTGCAGGTCCAGGGAGAAATCCATCTCTGTCAGCACCAGCAGCAGCGAGAGGAAAGGCTCTGCAGAGGGATGGGGATGGAGAAGCAGTGTCACTGCAGGGTTTCTGGCAGCCACAGCCTCACAGGGACGTGGCAGAGGACAGAATAAAGCCGTTTTCCGTGTAACTAATGAGCCCTGGGAATGAGGCCTTGAGAGCATCCCAGCACCACAGCACCCAGGCTGCTGCTGGAGGCTCATCCCAGGCTCCCACTGCCGGCACAGGTGTGGCTTGGCACCTGTTTTCCCCAAACTCAGACCAAGGCTTGCAGTAAACACTGCTGGTGAGTGACTCTCTCTCCATTTCTCGCCCTAGAAGCGAAGCAAAGCTGCCCAGGCTCTCCTGCACAAGCCTTGCAATCACACTGCCGGTTCTGCAATCTGCTCGAGCACCAGCAGCGCGGGTGATTTATAAACCATCGATGCACAGGTTTAAGTTGGGTTATTTATCACAATCAAAAGATTAAGGGCTTCCACCCTGGCCTGGCCCCCCCAAGGAGCACGGCTGCAGATAGATGGAGTGCTGCAGCTTGCCAAGGCAATACAGCCATTTAAAACCCCTGTGCCACCCCTCAGCCCAGGCCCAGCCATGACAGGCTCCCCTAAAGCCAGAGCTCTGGCTCTGCTTAAACATACAAAGGAATAACACTGGAAGACCCTTCAGGAGCCATTTTCCTATCCCATGACACTAAAGCCAACCTGAGATAGATTCAAACCCTGTTTAAATATTTACACCTCTTTTTCCATCGCTGCAGCAGCATGTGTAGATTCCAGCACTAAATTTGGACCAGAAGAATCACAGTGGACTATTCCCCTTCCCCTGCAGCAGTGCACTGCCATAACACAGGTTTCATCCCACCATCTTACCCCGGAGACCTTCACTGCCGAGGATGGAGCTCTCCGGATCATAAAACTGAAACACAGTGAAACAACACCATTACTCTGCCATTTTCACTGCCCGTGCGGGCCCGTTGCACTGCACCACTTGCTGCACCTCCAGGAGTCCGGGGGTCTGTGCCAGCTCCCTCACGGCCACCGCCAGCACCTTCCCTTGCAGAGCCAAGCGCAGGAAGTATCGCCCGCGGCCCTGGGCCGTCCGTGTCCGCTCACAGCCCCCGGCTCTCTGGATGCTCATGGAGAGAGGGCTCGGCCTGTTCGGGGAGAGAGGAAGCACCTTTGGCAGCACGTGGGAGCATCCTCCCTGCACCGGGGCTCTTTGGAATGAGTATGTCACAACAGACGCCCTCACAGCTCAGGTTTCCATCCCAGCCCAGCTCGGGGACGCTCACCTGCCGCTGGTCGCCGTGGGAAGCTGCTTCAGCCAGTGCCAGTAATCCCGTCTCCGGAAGCCCCAAGCCGGTTCTGTGGGAGAAAGGGAACGCGAGGCCCCTCGCCGCGGGCCCCGGGGCGCTGCCACCCCCCTCCCGGGCGCGAAGGGTCACTCACGTCGGAGCCCCTTGCGCAGGATGCTCTCCAGCCGCTGGCACAGGGACACGAGGTGCGGCGAGGTGTCCGTGCAGGGCCCCCCGGCCTCCCGCAGCTGCACCACCGCACCTTCAGGGAGGGAGAAGGCAGCACCCGTGGGTGCCCCAGCCGAGGGAAGGGCAGGGGGGCACCCACGGGAGCAGCTCTGCACAGCCCCCGGAGGGGTGACTGGTGGGAGGGGGATGCCCAACACCCCGGCAGGGCCGGACCCTCCCCGGCTGAGGCTGCCACAGCGGGCAGGAACTCGGGTAAACTTCCTCAAAGTCCCCGGTCCAGGGAGCCCCTGCCCGGCCCGGGGAGCCCCAGCCTGGCCCCGCCATCCGTCCGGTCAGACCGGTACCGGTGCGCGGCCAAGGGCCGGTCCCTGGAAAGCGCTGCTGGAAGAGGCAGGAACAGCCCCGAGGGGCCCACGCTCACCTTTAAGGGCGCTCAGCAACGGCTCCTTCCCGGCCATGGGCTCGTCCCCCCGGGCCGGCCGGTCCCGCGGCGGCGGCTTTACGAGAACCGGTAACGGGCCCCGCCCTGGGAGCGGCCCGCGGGGGGGAACCTCACACAGGTGTGTGTACCTGTGCATACAGAGACAGCACAGGCGTTGACGTGTACAGGTGTAACACAGACAGTGGCACAGACATCTGTCTATATGTATATGATGTTACATACGTTGCATCGGCAAAAGCAGCATATGTAGGAGAGGCAGCTGTGCAAACAGACATGTATTTATCTGTACAGATATTAGGACAGGCTCTGCGACACGGATGTGGATGTATGTGTTAAAAAGCCCCGGTGCTGGCCCCGCCGTAGGTACACACGGGGTGTGCACGGGCGAGCTCTCGCCTTGCCCATCGGGCTGCCCACGCACGACCAGCCTTTCCGAGAACCCCGGGAAGGGTGCGGGGCGCTCAGGGGCGGTGCAGGACCACAGGGGCGGTGCAAGGCTCGGAGGGGTGCGGATGCCGGGGGCGGTGCGGATCCCGGAGCAGTGCGGGATCGGGGGGCGGTGCGGGTTCAGGGGCGGTGCGGAACCCGGGGGAGGTGCGGGACGCTCGTGGGCGGTGCGGGCCGGCCGTGGGCGGTGCGGTGCGGCCATGGCAGAGCTGATGTGTCCCGGTCCGTCCCCGCTGCTGGCGGCTGCCTGCCGGGCGCACGAAGCGGCTTTCGGGGGGCCGGCGGTGCTGGCGGCGTGGGCCCCCGGCCGGGTCAACCTCATCGGCGAGCACACCGACTACAACGGCGGCTTCGTGCTGCCCATGGTAAGGGCCCGGGATCCCCAGCCCTGGGATCCCGCCGTGTCACCCTTCCGGGTCCCCTCTGAAAGCCCCTCGGGGGGTCCCCTGCCCCAGGATGTCCCCTACCTCGGGGATATGCCCCTCAGTCGAGGACCCTGCGGGATCCCCCCGCCGAGTCCGGAGCTCGCAGCAGGATCCGGAGCACGTAGAGCAGCTCCTCACTCACTGCAGGGGAATGTGATTTCCCCCTTCCCGACACCTCTTTTCTGCAACCCCATCAAACAATTTCCTGTTCTCAGAGAGCGATATTTTGGTGGTGGAGGTGGTTCGGAGCAGCAGGAGCTTCCTGCTCTTTCCGAGGTCCTTCGAGCTCCCTTCAGTTCAGTCCTAAATCAAACATACAGCTAATTACTGTGAGGCCGAAGAGCGTGGGAGCAGGTCAGCTGAATTCCCTGGCAGGCAAGAAAACTTCCCGAAGCCTCTCCCGTGTTTGTAGTGGTTACCATTCCACTGGAGCCTGACAGCCAGCACCCCGGCACTTACCTGGGGGTGGTCCATCACAACATTCAGCAGGAAGTCTGTTCTTATGTGGCAATAAATAGCCAGAAAGTTTAATTCTCTGCTGAGCCAGACCATACAGTGGAGGCTTTGTGGAGACAGGGTTGGGGGAACACGTGTTGGGTGCTCCAGCTGTGAGCTGAAGCAGCCACCACTGTCCCCTGCCACCCATGGGGATACTCTAAGGGATGTCAAGGGGTCTGAGCCCACCTTCCCCACCCCCAGGCTCTGCAGCTGGGGACGGTGCTGGTGGGATCCCCCACGCAGGACGGGACCATCTCCATCCTCACCACCTCGGCGGAGGCGGATGAGCCCCACAGGGTGCAGTTCCCAGCTCCCCACCACGGCAGCTCCCTGAGCCCGGGGCGGCCTCGCTGGGCCAACTACGTCAAGGGCGTCATCCAGCACTACCGGGGTAAGGCTTGGGCTGAGGGGTGGGGCAGAGACCCCCTCACGGGGCTGGTGTTCAGCACCCAGTTTTGGGTGTGCTCCAGGGGCTCTTCCAGCGCTGGTGCAATCCTGCAGCTCTGCTGGGACCAGGGTCCAGCAGAGATGCTCTCAGCTCCAGAGCCCCCTGTGTTGGGGAGGAGGTGCCCAGGTCACACTCTGCCATGGGTCACCCCATTTTTTAAAGTGGGATGTTGGACAGGGGCTCTTTGCTCTTGTTCCCTGTGAGCTGTGGGGCACTCCCAGCCCTGCAGGGGCTCAGAGCCCCGCTCCTCCCTTCTCTTCCCACAGGTGGTGCCGTGCCAGGGTTCAGCGCCGTGGTCGCCAGTGACATCCCCCTGGGCGGGGGCCTCTCCAGCTCGGCCTCTCTGGAGGTGGCTACTTACACCTTCCTCCAGCAGCTCTGCCCTGGTAAGGCAGCAGCCAGTCCTGGCCCCTGGTGTCTCTGTTTGCAGGTGGGAGCTGGGATGAGGGGGGTGCCCTTAGCAAGATCCCAAAACCCTTGGGGAAAGGCCACCGTGGAGCGGGTCACAACTCCCCCCTGCAGCCAGAGCTGGCACTGCTGTGACTGTGTTTCCTCTGGTTCATCCAGCCTGAGCTGCCCTCTAAAATCCATGGACCACCTCAGGGACAGGCCAGGGGGGTGAGAGGATGTTCCCCTTGAAGCATCTCCCTACCCTGATGTCCCCAAAAATCGAGAGATACCACTGAGACACCAGTGTTAAATTATCACATCCAGCTGGATCTGGGGACCCCCCCTGGCATGAGTGGCATGCAGTGGTGCAGGAGCAAGCACCTGCAGCTGCAAAACCCCATTCCATGGGAAACCAACCCTTTACCTCCAGGTTGGCTCCCCCTGCTCCAGGGCAAGGTGCCAGGGTCCTGGAGCTGCTAACCTATGTGTCTCCACTCTGGCACAGATGATGGTGATTTGGTAGCCAAGGCGCTGGCGTGCCAGAAAGCAGAGCACACGTTTGCTGAGATGCCCTGTGGGATCATGGACCAGTTCATATCCGTGATGGGCAAGGAAGGCCACGCTCTACTCATTGACTGCAGGTCAGGGCTGAGCACTGAGCTCACGGTGCTGTGCCCACCTCGGGCAGCTGGGGATGAGCTGGTCCTGTGGCCATGAAATAAGTGCGGGAGTGCAGGGAAGGGTTAACCCCCAAACCCAGCCCAAAATCATGGGGATGGGGCTTAATTCCTCCTTGGCTTGATTCCTCTTCCTGCAGCCTGTCTCCTCTTTGTCTGTCACTTTGCTGCTTTTGTTAGGGGCTGTTATGAAACTAATAAGTGGGAAGAGAGAGAAATGCTCGAGCAAAATCCTGGACTTTGTGCTTCAGGAGCTGCCTGCCACGTGGCCTCACACAGAGGGCTGGAGCAGGCAGGGGGACAGACACATGGCCCACGCTGAGCTCTCGCTGCAGGTCCCTGGAGACTGTCCCTGTCCCACTGACCGATGCCAGGCTGGCCGTGCTCATCACCAACTCCAACGTGCGGCACACGCTGACGGGCAGCGAGTACCCCGCGCGCCGGCGGCACTGCGAGGAGGCAGCGGCGGCACTCGGCAAGGCCAGCCTGAGGGATGCCACCATGGCCGAGCTGGAAGGTGGGGACAGCCCCTCCCTTGGCTCTGGCAGCTCCTCGGGGCATCAGGAGCTCCTCACGGCAGCTGAGACCGCGGGGTAGCACCAGGCACAGGTGGCTGTGTGCATGCACCAGGACGGGAGCGTGCCACACATAGAGGAGCTCTGGCATGGGATGGTTGCAGGATGTAGCCGTGCTTGCTTCCAGCAGCATCCCTGGGTGGCTTTGCTGCAGGGACACACGTGTCTCCACAGCGGCCAGGAGCCGGCTGGGCGAGGAGGTGTATCGGCGTGCCAGGCACGTCATCGGCGAGATAGCACGGACAGCCCGGGCAGCACAGGCGCTGCAGGACAGGGACTACAGGATGTTCGGGAGGCTGATGGTGGAGAGCCACAACTCCCTCAGGTGAGGATGCACCGAGGGTGCTCGCAGCCTTCCTCACACGCGCACTTACCGGCATCTCTGCAGTTTGCTGCAGCAGTGGCTGCACCAAGGCACGGGTTTCAGCTGTTCCTCGTGCAGTGGTTATGGGCAGGGTGCAGGACAGGGCTGACCGTGGGTCTCCTCTCTCCAGGGATGATTATGAAGTGAGCTGCCCCGAGCTGGATGAGCTGGTAGCAGCAGCTCTGGAAGTCGATGGGGTTTATGGCAGCAGGATGACCGGGGGAGGCTTCGGAGGCTGCACGGTGACACTGCTGGAAGCTGGGGCTGCAGAGAGAGCCCAGCAACATATCCAGGTATGCAGCAGAAAAGTGCCAGTAGGGTGACTTAGAGATCCCAAAGGAACACTCAGGGGCACAGCTTGAAAAGACCTGGCGGTTGAGATGGCGCTCCTGAGGCACTTGGGGTTGGTGGAGCCCATCCAGGGCCATGAAGGGCCCAGGTCTGTTGGTGCCACAAAGCTCTTGCAGGCAGTTCAGCATCGTGCTTGTCACAGAACCCTGCCCAAGGACCTCACTGCACTGAGGAAGTGAGAAAAAAGGTGCTGGGTGAGCTTCAGGAAGGCCAAATTTATCTAGGGAAAAGTGATCTGAGCTGAGCTTGGGCAATGCTGAGCTTTACACAGGCAGTTAAAGTCCAGGAATGATGTCAGTGCCATCACCAGTGTTCTCAAAATCAGCACCTCAGAGTGTACTGGTAGCTGAAAATGCCAGCAAAATGGGGGGGTCAGTATGGGGGGACTGTGGAGGAGGCAGAGCTTAATTTTGCTGCCCTATGAGATCATGGTGCGCCCTGAAAATAATTGGGGGGATAAAGAAGGGCCAGAGGAAGGTCTGAAATGAGGAGAGACCAAAAGGGCTGTGCCTCTGCCAAAGCTGGGAGAGAGGGAATGTGATCAGGAGTTACAAACCAGTGAAGGGGACAGATGGAGTCAGTGTGGAACTGACCCTCAAATCCTCCAAAATAAGAACCAGGGACCACTGGATGAGTTAGGAGTAGATCAGAGCTGAGGAAGCACTGCACAGGGCTGGGGTGGGGGAGTTTGCAGAGACCATGAAACATCATCAAGGTCAAAAAGAGGTTGAAAAAAATCATGGACAACAGTCCCTAAGGTGCTGCTGAAGGGTCAGCTGAGGGGTGTGTTGGTATCCTCCCTGCCCCAGGCTGTGGATGGACCACAGGACCCCAGGCAGTGGCTGGGACGGGATGCTGTCCCCAAAGAGCATCTGAGGTGGCTGCTGTTGGAATGGTGGTGACAGGGTTAAACAGGTGCTGGACTGACCAGCAGGGCCTTTCTCTCTGGAATCCCCAGCCCAGCCCCAGAGCCCCAGCACTGACTGCTCCTCTTGTCTCCTAGGAGAAATACAGCGGCACAGCCACGTTCTACCTCACCAAGCCCTCTGGAGGGGCAAAGGGGCTGCCCCTGTAGAGGGCAAGCACCTCACCTGGGATCCTTGGAGAGACAGCTGCTCTCCCTGCTGCCCAAGGGGATGGGTTTGTCCATCTGCATCATTTGCTCAATAAATGCACAACATTTGCACAGTTCTGCACCCACTTGATCCGAAGTCATTGGGGACTGTTCCTCGGAGGAGACTGGTTTAACTCCAGTTTGAACTGGAGTAACGAGCCATTACCAGGGCTCTGGGGTCCAGTAGTGCCCCTGGAGCTGCAGTTGCAGGAGGGGATGGCAGTGGAGGAGCAGCAGGCACTGGCACTTGGCAGAAGTTCCTGTTTGGGACTCTGCCTCTGGCACATGTCCTTCATCTGCTGCAGATGGAGGCTGGTGGAGGGGGGGATTTTTTTAATTTTAGATTTTTTTTTTTTTTTAAGAAAAGGGAAGAGGCAGACTGTAGAGAAAACATTTATTAAGTGCAATAGGAAGCCATCTGATCAAAGACCTGCTCTGGATCTGCCTTGGAAAGGCTGAAACAGCACCAACCCTAATGACCAGATGGAATTTAAAAAGACAGCCATGGGTTAGTGTACAAGCCATGGTGTGCATGGGGAGGGCATGATTCCCTGGGGAGCAGCTGATGGCCAGGCTCTGCTCTTGGATTAGGGGATAATCTTTGGTTAAAATGCTTGGAAGTGGGGCTCCCTTTTAAGGCAGTTTCCCGTGTTTTACCCTGGACCAAAAAGCACAGGGAAAAAGGGGCACAGAGTGCTTGTGCAGGAAGGGGATGTGTCAGCTGGAGAGGAAACCCCAACCACAGAGGGGAGATGGGAACAGGCAGACAGGCAAGTTAATGCCACTGGCTCTTGATCAGGAGAAATAAGTGCTTCTTGAAGGCACAGTAAGAGCACAGGGTTGGTGAAAGATCTCTTGAGCCACTTTCAAAACTGACCCAGCTCCAGCTGCAATCTTGGAGACTCCTGTGGACTTTTACTCACCCACGTGCATCTTTGGCTTAAAGGTGTACAACCCTTCCCAGGGAAATGAAAATCCTGGAGAGGAGAGGGGACTCTCAGTGGTGAGTTCTTCGGATTCCAAAAGAAAAAAAAAAAAAGGAAAAAAAAAAAGACAACAAAAAAAACCAACAAAAGAAAGAAAAAAAAGAAAAAAAAAAGAAGAAGAAAAAAAGGAAAGCCAAGGTCCATTGTCAGATGAAACCAGGCCAGTGATGCTGCCAGGGTGACCAGGCAGCTGCTGTTTTGGTTGGAAGCTCTGGCCCAGGGCAGTGGCAGCTGCTGCTCCGGGCAGGCTCCTGGCTCTCCTCGCCTGCTCCCGTGTGGCTGGAACACAGCAGGGAAATGTGCTACTCAATTGTTCTCACTGGCAGAGGGCAGGGAGATGCTGGGCAGTGTGCCCAGAACCAGCAAATGAAGCCCAGCGAGGTCTCAGCTCAGCCCAGCACTGTGCAAGGAGAGCCGAAGCTGGGACTGAAGGAGTCTCAGGATGAAGGGAGCACCTTCCGTTCCCAGGTTTGCTCTCCCCCTTGTGGATGACAGGTCCCTTTATGGATGTTGCTGCTGGACAAGAAATCTTTTAAAAGATAGCCAGCATCATCTGCCCTGAAGTCTCACACTCTCCACATCAGCCATGCAAGAAATCTCAGCACTGTTCCCATCTCCAGCACTGGGGCCGTCCCCATCCCTCACCTCTGGGCCCCTCCTGTGCCCATGTGCCACAGCTGGAGAGCACTTGGCTGGTGGATGCCCTGCAGTGAGCAGGTTTGGCCACTTGCACCCTTCTGCAGGAGTCTCTGGTGCTGGAGGATGTAAAGTCCAAGGCAGAGCCCACCACCTCATCAACAGGCTCATCACAGGGTTCAAGTAGCTTTTGGATCAAGCCCTTAACTATTTCTTCTTCCAGTTATTCATGTTTCTCAGCAGCCACAGTCCCAGCGTAGTCTCTACGTTCAGCATAGATCTCATCCACCTCAATTTTTTGTATAAAATAATAAAATACATTTTTATATATTTATATATATATACTATGAAAACTGTACAATATTGTATGCCAAAAAAAAAAAAAAAAGGCTTCAGAGGCCATCAAAAAGTAACACTACCCAAACAACTTTGCTCTAGTGGTACCAAATGTCAGCAGTGAAGGACAGACACAAGTAGGTGCAGTAAGAAAGCACAGGTTACCCCAAAACCCTACCTTGCAGCTCTCATAAAAAAAAACCCAAACAGAACAAACAACCCTCTCCAGTGGGCAGGTGAGTTGCCAGAGAGCCTGGAGCAAAGATGGAAACTGTGACCCTCTATAAAATTAGGATTTTCCCAGTTGAGATCCTCTCAAAACTGAGGACCTGAGAATAAAGCATTCTGCTCCATTTACCCGGGGAGGCTGGAGCTGTGGAGACACCCAAATGAAGGATGAGCTTGATCATCACACGCCTGATGACCCAGCTGTGCCAGAGCTCCGATGGTACTGGGCTCCAAAGGAGAAGTGCAGAGCATGGAGTGGCAGGGAGGGTCTGTACCCACAGCAGGAGCTGCCCAGGCACCGCAGCAGCATCTGGGTGAAGCGCTCTTGGGTCGTTCCACAAAGTTCTGCCGTCTGATCCCAAATGTCCCGCTGGTGCTCAGCCTGCCCCAGCTCAGGCTTCGTAGAACTGCCTCTCCACCTGCTTGGTGAGGGTCCCACTGGACATCACGGTCCGGCTCACGAACTCCTGGGTGAGGGTGCTGCTGGTGTTCTCCACTCGCTGGCTCGTCACGAGCATTCCGTCTGCAAGGACAGCGCGCTCAGTGCGGGGTCACAGGGACAGGGGTCTGCTCTGCCTGGTGTTCCCAGGCAGAAGTTTGCCCTTAAATACCACTTTCACGGATGGGAAAACCCTCCAGGGTGAAGTGATTCAGTGCCTTGCCTTGTCAGTCAGTCAGATGGATCTCTTAACACCTGCCAGACTCTGTGTTGCAGTGTGAGCCCAGGGGTTTAAGTGGGACAACACAGGGAACTACACTGATGTGATTAAAGATGTTTGTCACACTGCTCTGTTTTTTACTGCTCTAAAGAGATCAAACCTCGCAGGAACAGCTATGATTTGGTCTCTAGTGACAGGGCTGAAGGAATTCAGCTTTCCCCCTGGGACTGGGCAGCACATGTGGAAACGACTGCAGCTGTCTCTGGGGCAGAGCAGGAACACAATGTAAGAAAGTAAGAGGTGTAAGATCTTCAGCAATCCCACCTGATGGACCCTCCTTCCCTGCCTTTGGCACTTGAGGTAAAAGCACCCCCTCAGAACTTTGGACAAGCAGAATTATCCTTTGTTTTCTGGGGGATTTCAAAGCAGCAGTGAGCCCCTACCTGTGAAGTGGGGATCCAGAGAGGAATGGCTGATGCTGGTTTTGGTAGTGTATTCGGTGGGGAATTTGTACACTTCTTCCCTCATGTACTGCTGTCCTCCAAACTGGGAGAAAGCACCTGGGAGAAGGAAAAGGCTTGAGCCAGCCAGGAAACAACAAGGAGCTTCCAACCCCTCAACCCTGCACGGTTCACACACACCAGGAGTCAGCTCAGGAGGAGCTGAAAAGGAGCTCCAGGAATTGTGTTCCCTCCTCTGAGAGGTTTCTTATCTTTGCATCTCCACAGAGACACGGTACTGTACCTCTGTTCTGAGATTCAATGGTGATGAGGCCTTCTCTCTCTGGCCCAAAGCCTTGGGTGGTGTTGGCTTGCACTTTGAACTTGTATGGCACGTTCTCACTCAGGTGGGGCACAGTCAGGGTGGTTTCCAGATTGTCTCCTTCGACGTAGATTGTCCTGGGCTCCCCTAATCCACACAGACAGAGGTGAAGACAGACAAGAGTGAAGGTCCCTCCAAACACACTCCCCCCGACTCTGAGTGCTGCCTTAGCTTTCCCTGAGCTTTATGCCACCCACGGACTGTAGGATCACACCAGTTCTACTAAAACAACCCTGTTTTGGAGAACCTCAGCAACCAACCTCCACTGGGTTTTGGCTGCAATAGGCAACAGGTCCTTCCCCTTCCCACCACATTTGTTACAGCAAACCATGCAATGACACAGAGCATCAGGAACCAGCAGCTCCCAGGCCTGGAATCAGCCTCGTGTCCCCAGTTTGCCTGCACTGATGTAGGCAGACAACTGGTCCTAGCAAAAATGCAGCAAGTTGCAGCTTCTGCTGGAGGTATCTTGGGCTCTACCCATGGAACTGGAGTTCCTCAGCCTGGCCCCGTACCTCCTCCATGCAGCATCTCACAGGTGATCCTGTAGCCCAGGATGGGCCCGTTGGGCTCACGGGGTCTCTCCCAGCTGAGGTGAAGGGAGTCTGGGCTGAGGGCTGTGAAAACCAGTGGTCCAGGAGCACAGGGGGTGCTCAGGGTGAAGGGTGTACCTGCAAGGGCATGAGGGACAGGTCACATCACAGAGGGAGCGAGGGGTGGGCGGGGAGGGATCTGCACTCAGCATTTATGGGATGAGCTGGAAGGTCTCAGCTATCTCCTGGGCAACTAGCAACAGGACAAGAGAACAAAGCCACAAACTGCACAAGGGAAGGTTCAGGGTGGGCATCAGGACAAATTTCTTCACAGAAAATCTTGTTAGATTTTGGAATGTATTGCTCAGGAAGGTGGTGGAATCACCACTGCTGGAAGTGTTTAAGAAATGACTGGATGTGGCATCGGGTGCTCTGGTCTGGTTGACAAGGCTGTGATTGGTCACAGGTTGTGTCCTTAGAAGTGTTTCCCAACCTGAATGATTTCTGTGCTTGTGTGATTCTATCTAGACAGATAGTGGGAGGCAAGTGCATCGGAAAGGAGGTCCAGTTCCTAACTGAGAGAAAGGAAAGGAGAGCTCAGGATGTGCTAAGGGGAAAGAAAACAGGCCAGCACTGCAGAGACATCAGTGCCACCCTTCTGTCCACATCTCACCTGGTACAGGACTGAGCGGGCTCTGCGGGTCCACCTGGGACTCGATGGTGATGACTCCTTCCCTCTCGGGGCCCCAGCCTTCCTCACTCTGTGCCTTCACCTTGAAGATGTAGG